ATGGAACGCCATGCATTGACGAATTTTTGGCGTAATGAGTTAATAATTTTTTTACGGGTGTGGGTTTCTTCTCGGTATCATGAACTTCATCTTCCGACATTTTGTTTGCTTATTTCGTATGCCTTATAAACTGCTAAAATCACTAAAGTCAATATGAGCCAGCTGAACATTATGCATGATAAGATATAGCAAAACAACTGTCAACTGTAAGCCAATAGTTTTGGGTTTTATAATTATTAGGCCTGCAGCCAAAATTTCTAGCGTGAAGTTCCGCTACATGGTCCGCTAAACAAGCTATACATTTTTGGGAAGCTTGTAACACCAGGAATCCCATTTCGAGAGTTTCAAGAAAAATGTTTGCAATAACTCGATTTTGGGTCTGGGGAAAATCGACATAATTGTCAAGTAAATGCTATATTTATACTAATATTTCTGACTTAAAATAATATCTTCAGGAAAGAATATGGTAATGATTGAATTTTGATTTAAACAAAAATGCAGAAAACATAATGGACCACGGAACTTACGGAATTTTGGAAATCCATTAACGGTACAACCCCTAACCCAAAAATTATTTCTACTCTAAAATCTGTAAATCTTTTTTTCAGATAGGACTTGAGACTAAGTTCTAGCAATATATAAATTGAAACAAAGCATCTATATATGTGTAAAGTTTTCACTAAAATAGATGTGGCCGAAACTAAATAATACTGTAATGGGAGTGACAATATTGTAATGAAGGGAAGAGCAATCAAATGGTGTTTGTTTAATGCCTTACTATTTGCACCAACCAATATAAGGAAGATGAGTATACGCCATGTATTATAGTGGGGAGTGCAATCAAAACCACGCACCGTGACTTACTGACTTCATGATCTGACGAGCACGCCATGGACCCCTGGGGGCAAAGTAAGAACCATATTACTTACCATTGGCTACCCCAATATACACATCGAAAGGAATTCATAAAGAAGTAATAGAAATCCTACCATTTCCTTCGATTGCGGAGTCAGAACCAAAGACAAGAAAGGCAGTAGGTACGTTCCACTGTGCACCAGTGGGAGAGAGAGAAATGGAGTTTAACGTCCACTCGACACAAACTGTCATTTCGGGACTAACATATGGTTCTATTTTATTTCAATAATTCGCTTGCGCGTAGGGGTCTTTAGAAGTGGGGGGGAAACCGGAATACCCGGAGAAAACCCACGAAATTGGACAGGCGACCCTACTACTTGTCACGTACAACCGGGGATTCGAAACCACGCCAGTCGACACAATGACAGACCGTATGGTATAGCGCACATTCACTAACCATCCCCCCACCCAGAGGATGGGTGCTGGCGGTTACCTCTTTCCCTCACATTCCTGCCAAAACTGGACTTGTTCCTCAATCAGGACTTTTTAATTTGGCAAGTTTATTATTAAATATTTGTCTGGGATATCACCCATCGGTGGAAGCAGGTGTTAACTCCCAATAGCGAACGAACCATCGCCACATTTTAATTCAAGCTAATACCATGTGTATTGCTCATCCGGCTTGCATAATAGATAAGTGTTTGTCAAAATGCATAGGAAATGTATTACGCTTACAAATATTAACACATCAAAGGTAATTACTCTTTAAGTAATATACATGTAGCTCCTTCAGAAAACTGTAAACTAAGATGAAAGTGTGGTAAAAACAAAACTGTATTGCTTGTGGGCGGTGCACTAAGTAGAATTTGTTTTGACTGTACGGAGACGAATTAATCAGTAGATGAAATAACAGCACGAAATATAATTTGATCAATCATGAAAGCCACCTGTTGGGCATTTCTATGAGCATTATCAACGCTAAGAGAAATGAAATGAAATGGGGTTTAAAGGCCTACTGTCCTCCTTCGACTGGCATTTATAATGAAGATGGGATCAGAGCTTACTTAGAGTCTAAAGCTATTTCGGCGCGCTGCTCAATATCGTTGTGGACTACACCAGGACCCTGTTTCACAAAAACTTAAATCTCCTTGAAATCGTCTTAAACTAAATATTTCATCCTAACTTAAAGGAGCTAAGTCACTAATATTTGGGATCTAGAAATTGACAAAAATGGGTCGCAACACATCTAATAATGTAATATGAGTGTATATAAACTGATTTACATTCAATCTTTTCCGTTTTTACTCTAATTTCTATCCCGTCTTCATTAGCCCAGTTTAGGAGCAAAACAGTAGGACGTTAAACCCCATCAGTTATATTCGGCGAAATACGCCAGAAGTCGAGATCGAATGGCAATCTCTAGGGTCTTGTTATTCCAGTCTACACCGATAGTATTTATTGCGCATGCTCTCCAGATAAGAATATAAAGTTACCGTTTGACATGACTTGTGGAATATGCATAGCCTCGTTCTTCGAGTCTCTTGTTACAAATTACGCTGAAACGCATTATGGTACACGATACGTGTACCAATGGTGAAATGTTTATTTTGTCTTAAATATTGGATATCAGAAGCCCATCTTTTCCCTGTAAGATCACAACATCAATATTGAGTTAAATTGACAAATAAATCGTGTTTTCATTTCGAAGACTTTGGATGATATTGAGTTAGAGACTTAGCTACTTTAAGATAGACGAAGACGAGATTCACAAAACGATTTTAAGCATTTCAGTTAAAATCCACTAAAATAATATTTTAAGTTAAAATTTTATCTTAACTTAAAATAGTCACGACATTAACAAACATTGATTTATATAGGGCTACGTTGTTAGATTTATTGCAACATATTATTATTACTTCTTAATGAAGGCTTACGTTAATAAAACAACATAATTAAGAGAAATTTTAGGGCCAAAGCTAATGTATCATTTTAATTGAGTAAGTTAGATAGTCACTTTGGCATTTTCAAAGTATCATTGAAAGGGTCAATAAGGATGACATTTCAAATCTATTTATCTAGGCATCGGAACATTGGATAATTGGTGTATTAGTTTCAACAAAGTTGCTACATACTTTTAAAATTCCGACAAAAATTTACAGCCTAGGCAACCTTCGGTTATCGGGATTTCTTGACTATGGTCGAACTAACTGAATCCGAATTTCATTTAGTCCGAACCTTAGTCCGAAAATACTGAACCATGCTATTGTGGCATGGTTGGAGTAGTTCTAAGATGCCGGTGTCGATGAAACGAAAGTGTTGAATATGTAGAGAGAATCTATTTTTGTTAAGTATATGATTTTAAGAAAGCTTGAATGAAATTTAAATGGTTGCTACTTCTATGAGCAGATATTTTTATTATCCCGTTTGTTATGTCTTAATTTATGTAAGTCTAAAAATTACGCATTATTTCAATATTTGCGCTATGCAAAAAGTAAAGTCAAGTTACAAGGAATTTTGTCGTCTTTAAATTAATTTGAGTCGCGCAAATTTAACTTCATGAAAGTATTATTTGTTTATTAAACTATATAACACAGCCATTCATTATCCTTCATGGAGAGATGTATAGACCTTCCTTGGGGTTAAGGGTTTTTTTTTTTTCAGGGTTATGGTAAAATGACATCACCATGTCCCTGGGGACAGCCATCTTTGAATAGACGATGGTCCAGACCATTAGCGTTCGGTTTCTAGTTCCAACCACTAGTCGTGAAAAAATTATTACCGAAGGTCGCTCTGGATTAGCCGTTTGGGTCACAAATATCACATGTTTGTGACAATTCTCAATAGTTTCTGTTATCCATTACATTGCGTGAGTGTAGCTTTAAACGCACAACACATAGCATAACAATTTGAATTCAAATAAGTAATTCTATCATAAATAGTGAAGATTTGGTGACTAAAGCCTAGCTCACAACACGCCGTATGTGTTTTAACACGCACGGGTCGCAGGGTTTAGAGGATCACCGTGGCTAAGTGGGTAAGACGCTGGCTCGCTAACCTGGAGGTCGGGTGTTCGATCCCTGCATTGGCCGAGAAAGTTCACCCAGATTTTACGGCGTGGTTCTCCTTTGTCAGTGATGCAGGACGGAGGGCCTGACAAGGATAGCTGTCTAGTCATTCGGATAACACGAAAAACCGAGGTCCCATGTACACATTGGCATGCACGTAAAAGATCCTTTGACATTTGGAATTCGATATAAGAGTAGGCCGTAGTGCCGCGGTCCGGGGCAAAATTTCCCTCATAGCACACTGTGTGACGTATGCCCGTCTTCATTAGCCCAGTTCGGAGCAAAACAGTAGGACGTTAAACCCCATTTCATTTCATTGTCGCAGGGTTTGGTAGCTCGCAGACCAGCCGCAAGAAACCGTCCAAAAGTTTCTACGGTCAGTCTGCGATCTTCTACAATGCCGAACACACGCAAGTGACGCGTAAGTCTTACGCACGGGTTTACTAAAAATTCCCCCGTAGACTGCCCGTAGTAGCACGTAGGGCGGGGTTGTGAAATCTCGCCAGATATCGCATCGCATCGCCCTGCCCATAGCTTTCCTTACAATGATTAAAATTTGTTTGCTATAACGAAATACTATAAGCATTTAAGTATGGACATGGTCTCCATACATGGAAAATGACGTTTGAGCACTTGCGAAGTCGTGCGCAGGCTAATTCTGGTTAGGTGGCCATATTATTTTTTTTTTTTTTTTTTTTTTTTAAACGGACATAAATATCACGTGGCCGTTGAATTTGATCAAATTAATTGTACGGTAGGCATCATCTTTATTTAAATGATAATTGGTTTATTATATATTAAACTATGTACCGTTTACATTGTGGGCAGTTTATTTGGAAATTTAAGGGACTTGTAGAGCCTTTACGGTTTTGTAATCAAATGATTACAAAACTTGCTGAAAGAAAGTCCTTATAACCTCCACTACTGTGGCTGGAGGCAAGACGAAATACATCAGTTGCGAATTATTTCTAAACAACGTGGATTTTTTTCCGGGTTACAACACTAGTGTGCTAGCAAATTTGTGTATCACATGATTGGGTAGTTCTACCCCTGAATATCTTATTAAAATAAAGAACTTACTTCCTTCCTCGGTATAATTTAGATCCCACTATGGAGGGAACCCCGTGCATGGTCGAATGTTTGGCATAGTGAACGAGCAGGTCTCGCACTTCAATCGCAGTTTTACCCTTGGTTTCTGTGACTGTATCGTCGTCTTCCTCCACGTATTTCTTCATCTTTTCTTCTGGCCCTACTGACTGAGACCTAGAATTATACAGAGACGGGCATTTAAACACACGGTCATCTTTGATACCAAACTTCTACTAACGGAATAAAGCTGATTTTGACCTTAATTATAAAGTTTAATTAGTTTCTTTAATTGGTCCGCCTCTTAAATAAAAATGGTAAATTTTGTATGAATTAATCATAGAAACAATAACCGTTGGTGGTCCTGACCGAAATGGAACATGATATTTTTATTATTTTTTTTTAAAAAAAAAACGGGAGATAACACAAAGCTTCTTTACAAAATTAATTAAATCCGATGGTAGATCGGGAATTGCTGCTCTTACAGTTGACTACAGCAGGGACCAGAAAATAAGTTTAGCCTATAGATAAGAAATTGTGGGACAGACATTTGGACTGGCAGAATTGGCGGCATTTATGCATTCACATTCAAATGTAAGTAATAACATTACAAAACAATGGGTTAGATAGTGTACTCTTAGATAATGTCAGTTTTCAATAAAGTACAAATCATAATTGTGCTCATTCTTTATTATGAATAATCCAACATTTCTTGTGAATTTTGGGTCGTTCTTGGCTATTCCTAAAAGAAAATAACCATGCACATTTTTACATAAAAGTATACTAAAACTTACTAAATAAATAATTACGTTACATTACCATTTTCAAGAACAAGCGTTAAGAGTGAATGAATGTTGGATTGTTCTTGACTATTTCTTATAAGAGAAAATAACTATTCCCATTTTTACATAAAAGTGAATTAAAACCTACTAAATAAATAATTACGTTTGAATACCAATTTCCAAAACAATCATTAATATTTTTAATAGAAAATACAAAAATTGTATAAATATTTATAGAAAGGTCTGAATAAAATCGTAATCATTACTATACAGAACAGAGTCGTAAAGACGAGAAAGTCATTCTTTATAATAATATTTCGTTATGATCTTCGACAGGATCTGTGAAGAATATGTATCTCTGCTAATCAGGCTGATGCCCATTCGCAAAAGTAGTTCTTCATTGGGCTTCACTGTTCTGATAAAATTCCCTCGAAATGCCAATAAAAAGGTTACATTAAACGAAAGATACACGGTAAAATCTATAAGAAGCACCAGGGTGGTCGACAATCATGCCATCAATATTTTTTAATTTTTATTTTATTGTTATTCTTCTCTATATATTACAGTTTTACATCAATAAAAATTATAACGTAATTACTGATCTAAACAACAAAAAATAAAACATGCCCACGGAATTACAAGTAAATCAATTATTTTATTACAATTTGTGTTAAATAAACGGATAAAAATGTAACACGGTGTCATCTTAAGGGAAAAAATTGATTAGAAAATAAATGAAAATTTTCATAAAAACATATTTTGTTGCTAACAGCTAACACAATGACATATGGAAAAGATTACCATTAAAGGACAAAAGTTATGTGATAGAACTGGTTAATTTTAATAGAATTTTAACATACAGATTATTGCTACGGTAGATGCGTAAAAAATACTTGAAGAAACGAGAAGTGAGCGAACGAGCCATAACAGATACACGGTCGAATTTCAACTCACTGATAATTCCATTAAAGACGACAAGTTTTTATATGAGACTGTGAGTACCTAACAATTTATAAAAGAATTGACTGTCACTAGATAAGAGAAAACGAGACAAATAGAAAAGGCCCGTACATTCACTCGTTTTTATCCATTCTATACTTTATTTAAAAAAAACATGGTGTGTTAAGATCATATTTGGAACGTGTCTAACCAGTTCTACCACAATATGTGATAATGACTGACACCAATATTGTCCTTTAGTTTCCCCATTTACTTTAATGTTAATCCTCGTCCGTTTAACCGACTCTTTTCCAAATTGTCTTAGTGTTGAACGCTTTCTACCACAGTCTGAGCAACATGTGGCAACCTCTTGTTCAAAAGCATGTATAAAATTCACTATGGAAATCTTGAGATACACAATTTGGAAGTAGCATACAAGTAAACAACTAAACATTCAACGTAACTAACCACCTAACTCTCTTATCCTTCTGCATCAAAATCATGAATATTCACCAAAATCTTTCAGAAAATCTACGCAAAATGTAACTATCTCATAATTACAAGATAAATATCTTGTATCTTGTAATTACACCATAACTAATTACGAAATAATCGAAATATTTGTTCATTTGATTGACCCTAATGGTCTTCAGGTAATGGTAATTACGGGATAATTTATTTCAAGGTCGCCAAACACTAATTTAAAGAATAGGTAGGCCAACGCCGTACTTTATTTTATGTTCCTTAAAGCCATAGAACGCTATTTACATTTTTCGGAAAATTTCATTAATCCAAGCTAGAATGTACACAGATCCGATTGGAATTCGCCAGCAATTTTTTTACAGCCGATCAGGAACGGGCACACGTAGCGATCGTCTCGAGCACGTACGCCACTCTGCGATTAAATACGTCGATCATATGACTCATATAGAAGCCATTTTGGAGGTAATATAAAAATGGTGCGCTTGACAATATACGCTGGACACGGACAGACGAATCGATCGTCGGCGTAAAATATTCGACCGAAAATATCTAACATGCTAGGTACAGGCGATCAATCGGGCGAATGGTTCGCCGAGCAGAATCGTCGTCGCCGTGAACAGGCACCCAGGCGATTTTTTCGAGCGATTTTAAAAATCGACGCGATTGGGCAAAATTAATTCGCTCGTCGGTCAAGGCCAACGGAAGTTGGTCTCCAGTTACAAAGCTTCTGCTAATTTTAAGAAGAGTTCCCGTCAAGAGAATAACCAAAGCAATCTAATCGACCTATTAATCGTGTGACCTTTTTTTCTCTTCTCAGAAGTAAAATTGTAGTAGTTTCGTTGCAGTAATATACAATATATATTCTGAGTTTCGGTAAACTATAAACTATCGAATATAAAGTGAAAAACAGATTTTAAAACTAAACTGTCGGGGACTAAAGGTGAATAGTTTCTTTATATTTCCATATCTACATTATTTAACTACTATCTCTAGTGTATTTGTTTAACAATGCGTGATTTATATAGCCAGAATTTGTCAATTTATGTTGAATCAAATTGATTGGATAAATATATGTGAAGTAGTTTCTATTAAAATTAATGCTATGCTAGCACAACGTTTATTTCATAAAGACTTCATTCGTTTTAAACTAGAGAGTAGCCGTTCAGATTGAATTGTCTTTATGATAACCGCAGTGGTCAATATCATAGTATCCAAGTATCCAAAGTCGAGCTCGCATATTAAAGATACATTATGGGAGATTCGATAACGAGTTGGCAGTTCTCTCGCTATAATAGTTAAAAACCAGATAACGTAAAGGCAATTTGCTGAAAATTTCATTCAAATTGATCCACTATGAACCGAGAACTAAGCAAATGAAATTTCTGCCTGGCCTCGGTCATCATTACTAAAGTCAGTACGATAAACATAGTCTCGATTATCCATTTAATCGTTAAATCGAGAAGGAAAGTTATGCAATAAATCGGCTCACAATCTACTTACGATCGCAGCTTAGCGATGCCATCGAGAGTTGAATATGGTCTGGATAAGTTAATTAATGTCTAATTAATAATTTAGATAAGACCCGCAATAGGCAGATTTAGCTCTTGCATAATGTATGTTTAAACAACCGATTGTCTGTGACCTGTAGCCTATTTATTTATCTATCTTATATAAACAACAGAACAGAAAAGACAAGAGATAAATTATTAAACTGATGAATTACTAATAAATGACGGTGGCTGTAATTTCGTATTTGTTGAGATCGGAAATATTGGACTTCGTAGACAGATAGCTTACTATTCTCATTTAAAGCAATTACCCGATCTGACATAGTACGTTCGTTCAATTTCACAACTGATCATTTCATTTTGTAGAATGGTATAACTGGATTAAAGTTACTTATATGAAATGCTCCGATACAGAGTTACAATAACAAGTGGTAGTTTAACGTAGGCTACAGCGTGGTTGATTATCTCCGAACTCTTGGAGAATGGCATTTGGATTCCTTCTGCAGTTTAAATGACTTCCAGCGAGTTCATATTTGCAATCTTCACGGTAAATACGAAGATAGTTGAGATGGACTTCTTGTATTTATCGTCACATACACAACACGAAATAAATAGCTTATGAACAATTCTTATTCCAGGACGTATTGTAGCATTCCGCAGGGAATTAGAAATGTGTTATAAATACAAGCGTTGGAATTCCGGGGATGTTTATCGTACTGTTATCATTATAAATAAAGTGATATATATTACAAATTCACTATTCCCAGACGGGAATATCGTGCTTATGGAACACAGCGCAACGTCGAGCTACTTCGGATAATAGCTTTATCAGCATCGAAGACACAGTACCGAATCTGTTTTTATCATATTAAGGCATATTATCTCTTTCGTTAGTAGGTGATCTAGGTCTTTTAAGTGTAAAACAAGAGATTACGTAGCTATAAGAGAAAAATGTTCTAATTTCACCAGCTACCATTATTATAAATCTGATATTAATATAATCTTAATATCTAACATTTCTCTAAACTATTGGTGGTATTTAGTTTTTAAATAACTTCGTTAGTAGCATCGGAGATAGTAGTATTTTAATAACATCTTTGATTACGATAAAACGTTGATACGTAACCCATTTTTTTTTTTTTGGGGGGGGGGGCTAATTCTCAAAAGATCAAAAAAATTCCTCGCCGATAAAATTTGCTTTAATTTTATCTGTAAACTATGTACACAAATCGCCGTAACAGATGATACCGGATCTTGCCGAACAAAAATAACATTTGTTCGAAACATTAAATTGTATTTAAAGTCACCCCCGTGTGCTTTCATAAATCGGTCAATTATCGCACAGATTATAGCGTGAACTTTAAGACAAATAGCAAAACAGTTTTTTTATGTACCTCATGCTAGCAGTTACTATAACACTGAAATATTATTATCTAATTTCAGGCAAATAACAATACAACCGTTG